TGTGAGCCCGGACGCAGGTATCATTGGAGGGTTAAAGTGCTGGGGAGGGACACGGGGACATGTGTAAGTGAAGGTGGGAAAGGATGAACATGTTGGGAGCATCATGGTACGCACTGCAAGCTAACGACCCAATACACTGCCTACAAGGCGGTAGTGCAACATTGGTGGCGAAGACACGTTTGGATGAGCCTGCTTGAGTGCAGATTCAATAAGGGACCGCTCCAAGGACCCAGGGTGCTTCCATGCTTTGGCCCGGCGGAGGAGTCGGACTTGCCCGGTGAATTAGAAGCAGAATGGCTTCAAACATCGTGCTGCTACAGGGTTGTTCGACTGGTGCAAACAAAACATGACAGCCTTCTTCTGAGACTATGCCAGGGTTTTATGACCGAGGCATCGTGGGATCTATATGCAACCGCTGTCCAAGGGTCACGAAATGAAGGCGACAATGACAGACCGAATGGTTCCCAAGTCGACTTGAGTCTCAAAAAAATGTCAACGTCGGAATCGTCAATATTCATGGTGTTCGTACGATGACGGGCTTCAAGGATGTTCCATGCCCATTGCCGTACGTCATCCCTGTTGAGACTTGAGGTCGAGGACCAAGTGAAAAAAAATCGAATGTCGTCACCGAAAGACACATCGAAGACGAGCAACTCCTCACCTTGAAGCACGCCTAGAGGTTCCTCCATCCAGCGGGGTTAGAATTGGCTGGGGGTCAACACTTCACGGGAGTATTTGAACAATATGTCTTGTCTGTGCGCACGTCTCACAAGTGTCTACGCATGTCTATGCAAATCACCTCTTTTTGTGCTGTCTGTACTGTGCTTCCTGTGTGTCTGAATGATACAGTAATATGCATGTCTGTATGTCTGCATCACTGGGTTCCAAGAGGTGTGTCTGCCTTCTTCATGCAAAACTCTTCAGACTTGCCTGCGTCTGCGTTCTGCATATGTTTATTTTTGAAAACTTAATAGGCATGTGGGCTGTCTAGATCCAAAACCATGGGCACCTGCCACGTGAGGGCCGCCCAACTCAGCACACCAGTGGCTGAGTGCAGGATGCACGATTGATTGTTGAACATTTGTCCGAGATCTAGCTGAGTAGGCCGGTGATTCATGGTCTGCCCCTTGAAGCACTTGTGAGAAATAACAACTCCCATTGCCTCACAGCTTTCAAGGCCCATCTCCAAAAAGTCTTCCACGTTGGGCGTGCTGGTCTGCGTGTGCACCCCAGAATTGATATGATAAAGGACATATGAACCAACGACACCAACCTGATCCCCTGCTGCCATTAAACCAAAAAATAGCATCTTAAGCAACACGCACGGTATGCCGGCAAGCAGGCTCAAAGGGACCTTCATCCGACCAAGCGACCCATACAAGTTGGCAAGCCGGTGAATGTCGTAGCAAATGCCTGGTGAACACAATTTGAGTAAGTGGGACCAAGGAAAATGGTGTGCATGTCTAAATGTGTGGAAGTGGATTCATCATGATTCATCATTGGCTGTTGAGAATCAGCAAGGACCAAAAACAGCGGGAACTGGAGTTTGCACTTCTGACACTGGGATTGTTGGACGTGTACAGAACAGCACAATGTCCGGTCGAATCAGCTGCAAGAAGCTTGCAGACTAGATTAATCAAGTAACTAATTGGAAAAGAACATTAATGATCATAATAAAGTCAAGATGGCAATCGACGCAACTATATCCAGTGAATATAGTTAGCAAGAGAGTTCCAGAACTCAAAAACCATGCGTATACTGCATACATTTCTATATATATATTATACATCTGACTGGAACGAAAAGAGCAAGCAAAATACTACAAAAAGGCATATGAAGAAGAAACTACAGTAGTTTTTTTTTGACCATGCCCCCTCAAAATCGCCACCGCTGAATTGGCACTTCCAGGCGACCCATACCAGGACCAACACATCCATCCACAGGGTGTTGATTCGTCAAGATCCAACGTGAGTTCTCAGCCAAATTCAACTGGCCTTCATATTTCGTCACCTGGCCACAACAAAAGAGCATCCCTCTACCATGTTGACCTAGCGCAGTCGACCTGGAGACCTGGCCCTTCTTCGTCGAGGCTCCAATCCCCACGCGCCCGAACTCGGTGTCGAAGGTCCCCGGCAGCTCGCCGCGGGTCGCCCAGCTCCCATCCACGTAGTCCTGGAGCTCACCCACCGGAGCCGAGCCGCAGGTCGCACCCGTCGGAATGAAAACACGGATGTGGACACACGAGGTGGGAAGAGACCTTTTCTCTCTACCGGGTTGTTGCTAGATTGCCAAGAAAAGAATTGAATAGACATGATATGGTCTTAGAATGATTTAGGATGTCTTAGGCTCCAACATGAGTGCGATACAGTGCCCAATGGGAGGGATGTCTGGAAAAATCACATTGTGAAGTTCTATAGAACTGGAACTCTGACAAAAACGATGGCATCTCCCAAATCCTTGAGACGTATTACAGTATATATGCCTCTCCTTTCCCTCCTTGGCTCGTGCTGACCCCGCCCCCAACCGCTGTCCCACAGGAAGGTCTTGCGATAGTGGATCACCTGCAGCAACGACTTCGAGTGAAGAGTTCTATCTTGGCACAGCGAATCATCCCTGACCTCCCAAAAACGAGATCAGCCATTACTGACATGGGCTGTTCCAGTCAGGCATGTCAACACGGTTCGGTTTTTGGGCATCGACACCCAGCTAATCGAGGGAGCGACCGTCAAGCAAAAATCCTTAACTGGGATTGTATGTGTCTGTATCTCACAAAGTGCAAGTCACGATACTCAGACAGTGACATGCCCATCACCTGGGCATCAGTGGAATTAATTTATGGTAGTACAGTTGTACCTTTGTGTGCGTCGGGGTGGTGCCCGGGATCGGGCGGAGGGGTGATGGCCTTTCTCAAACTGACAAACCAAAATCATAAACTAAGTAAAACATGCTAAAACGTACATATAAATATATATATATGTATAATTATGTATATATTACAGTAGTCAATCTCTTCGCATCGTTCTCGCTGCTCGCGGCTTGTCCTCCAGCTCCTTCCCACTTGCCAGGGCACAATCTTTCCCTCGGGTGACGCCAGGCACACCGTATTAAAGAAGCGTGCATCGCCCTCCACCACCTCCGTGGCAAATGTCTAAGGATCAGCCGCAGGCACAGTAAAACAACACAAGCTGCAAAGAAAACAGGGCATCCGTGTTTTCCAAAGAAACTGCAGCTGATGCTAGCAGGCAGGGCTTGGTGCCTGATGTGTGGTATCTAGTTACTGTCAACGAGTGAGCTCCAGCGCTATTTGACTGCAATCTGCAAATCTAAATCGGACACATAAGTCACGAGTCACTGGGTCCTAGCTCACCAAAAGAAAGGAACCGCTATGAACTTGTGCGGTGAACATTTTGCAGACTTCATCTGCACACAAACCAAGAACCTCCTCCTCGACGAAGGGAATCGTCAGGTACACGCCCAGCTCCTCATGAAACCGTGAGCCGGTCTCAGATTGAACTTGTTTCTTCAGCTAAAATCAAGTGGGCATCAATTCAAAGGGACCGCTGTGAAGCAAACACATCGCCAAACCTCAAATCAGCGGGGGTCTTCTTCTTCCCACTCAATTGGGATCAAAGTAGCGCGAGGGTGTGAACAGTCGTTTGGCGCAATGTGATGCTTATGACCTCACACACGCGGCATCTGGGTTTCAAAGCCGCCAAATGTTGGGCAAGTGGCCAGGCCGGCCCCACATGAAGCCTCGGACCACAGTGTGAGATGAGAGGCCTTCGCGAGCCACCCTCAAAGGAAGACCCATGAGACTCAATTCCCGAAGGTCTCCTTCGCAAGTTTCACGAAGTGCTGGACGATCCTAAGATCTGGAACAGGCGAAGGGTAAAACTCTGTCACATGCTCAATGGAGTAAGGACGTCTGAGATGGGTTCGTTTGTATGAATTGGCAGGCGATACTCTTGGAGAACTCTTTGAATCATGAACTCGAATCTGTGGATGTTCAACATGCCCTGTTCCCAACCCTTTCCTTGGAAAAAAACATGCAAAGGCAGCGATTTTGCAGTTCTGAATTCCTTGTTCAAATCTTGGATGATCTTGGAACATTTGGAACATGTTTCTTCCTGGCTTCAGCAACAGAATATGCAAAAATACGACCACAGTTACAACACAATGGCTGGATTGAAAGCGATTTGTGTTAGGTCTGGCGGCCTGCCCGGGTCCCCATCTTCAGCAGTTCACTGGAGGAACGGCTCTGTGCACTCAGTTTCACTCATCCTAGCATTGTGTCAAACTGTTGACATGATTTGACAGTGAACAAGGATCCAATGGAATATTGGAGGCGTAGCCGGGAGAACAGGATGTGATATCAACATGCAAAACAAAGATAAGCCTGCATGTTGCTATCTTTTTGCAATCCATGGAGGCGATCTACTCCAACGCTCAGGAACATTGCCTGAATGCGTGACTTCACGCGACAAAGAGAGACGTCTACGACCATCTCTGCTGGCAAAGAGACGACAGCGACCGTCGCCGGTCAGGTGGATCTGAGGATGTGTACAGTATGGTCAAAAGAAGTGCATAAATTAGAAATTCTAATTTAATTTCATTCTAATTTGTTACTACTAGCGAGGCACTTGTTACTACTAGCTTCTTGCTACAGTTTGTGCCATGAATCCGCCTAGTTCGGTGAACCCGATGTACACTTTTGTCCTGTATCTGTATCAGCCTGTATCTAAGACCCACCTCCGTCTAAGTAAGAGCAACACGTCAAAGCTCCTGCTCTAGTTTTTCTGCTTTCTGGGTTTGCTCAGCCTTTTCCTTCAGTCGCGCCCTTGCTTCATTCCTGGGCTGCCAAGCTCTCTGTGCTGCTGCTAGCATAGATTGCATCTCAATCTGGCAAATGAACACACTGAGCTTCAAATCAAACACTTGCAAGGGCGTTGCTTCTTTTCTACACCCAAAACCGACAATATTCAAGCTCATTAGCCTGTGCCCTTGACTCAAAAGTCCGTGCGTCAAGCATCAACTTACGGGCTTGGCCCAACTTGGCAATGCCAAGTTAATTAAGTTGGAATGTCCAGTGATGGGATAAAAACAAAGTGTCCAATCCACCCAATGGGCCAATGGGTTCGGACTGTGGGTTCAACATGTTCACTCTAAACACTGTCCTGCGTGCCACGGCACACCAGCTTGAGGTCTCTCTGCTCCATAATCCGTTCCTGATCTGCACCCGGTGTGTGGGTAACGAGGAACATCGTATGCCGTATCCACCTGTCAATCTGTGGCTTGGAAGCTGGAATCTTAGGACCCCAAATAATTAATGCTGAGACAAACTAAGGGACCAAAAAATGCAATATATATATATATTATATTTAACTTTTTTACTTAAAGTTTGGTGTTCCTCTTTGTTCTTTTTCAAGATCATTCACATCAGCGCAAAGTAACAAGCGCTGCACGGAGGCTTGAACTCATTGTATTCGCCACAAGTGGTGCCGACTTCGCTGGACACCCAAGGCTCAGTGTCCCGGTAGAAATGTTTGAACTCCTCCATGGTCAACACCAGGTCCTCAAGGGCGGACGTGTGAAGAAGGGATTTCTGGAGGGATAGGAAGAAAAGGTTGATCATTATACCAGGACCCTCCAAGGGGTGTCTATTTATAGCCCCTTAGCTGTTAAGGGGTGTCCATTAACCACCCCTTGGAGGGTCCTGGTACATGAATCTTAAGAATTTATGATATTTCTTAATGCCTAGTTCTAGTTTCTGATCACTAATCAAGATCACTCTCTTACACTAGCAGCCAGAAAGCAGTCCGTCTTTTGAACCAGTGCAGTGGCAGTTGCTGCCAAGATTTCATGAAATCTTACACATGTCAACATATGTCAACAAGCCTCGAAATCAATTACCTAATGGCAGCTTCTCCGGAAGTGGCCATGGAACCCATCACCCCCTATACCTCGGTCACACCAAGTTCTAATGGAGAGGTGTTGTCCGCATCCTTCTCCCTTAGCCAAGTTGGGAGTTCATTTAGCATCCGAATCCTTACAGGGTTGCTAAACACTTCCCTCCATCCCTCTGCCCTGCTGTAGTTGGTAACTACCCACTCTCCTCATCCCGATCTGCTTTGGTGAAGGCTTTTTGAAACTTCTTCTTCACCTTGGTTGCAGGTGGCCACATCCTGTCGGTTCCTTTTTGGGACTTCTGGTTGCAAACGACCGCTGTCTTTCCTACACTCGGTGCAAGAACTGGACGTACACCGTGGTTTGTTGGCGTACCGGGGTGGACTCCCGAAAAGGGCAGGACATCTAAGGGAATAACCCTTGAGCTTCCCAGCTTTCCCAACTCCAAGGGGGCTCGTCCTTCTTGTTACTAGTAGCGTCCTTGCTCCTAGTAGTAAGGCCAGGAGCCCCGTTCGTAGCGTCTCTAGTAGCGAACATTGTTGGGCGGACTATTCCTTTGTGCCCGATCCGAGTCGCATCTTTGGGCAGCCGATCAAATCCTTCGCTGTGCATCACCTCGTGCCAGTGGATCGTACCATCTCGGCCTGCACTCGCTGGAGAAACTCATGACAGGGTAAAAACTGAGTCGAAGCTGAGTGGTCTACACATCGATCGCCTAGCTACCTATAGCTGTAAAGGTTTTTTCCTACGGTTGGTCAATGCAAGAGTTTCTGCTGCATATCATATCATGTCCGCGAATCAACCTGCTGAGTTGTATTAGTATTATATGTATGTTACAATACGCGTGGGGGGGGTCCTGCTCGCCATTTTATAGTCTATATTTGGCCAGGTGTGACCCCTGGATTCTGTACATATTGCGAGGAGTGGCCCCTAGATCCTCTAAATTTGGAACCATGAAATCCAAACGAAAACTGCAGCGCAAAGACAATTTTTTGTTGTATAAAATGACGAGGTCTGACCCTCAAAAGATGTTGGAATGGAACCTATATAAACGATATACTGTTTGTGAACCTGTAGGCTGCCTGGGGCATCTGGCGAGTAGCTGTGTTTTTAAGCAATCCTGGGGGTTGCACCCCCCCATTGTATAGAGGTCCCAGTGTGGCCTCCCTTCTGTTTTGGCCACCAGGCATCTCTGGTGGATTGGTTCTACAACCTCTTGCCATGTCTTCAAGCTCAATGGCTACAAATCACAGGCTGAAAAGAATTGATGAAATCCAACATGTTTTTTCTTTTTTTGGAGACCTCATCCAACTTAATTATTATACAAACAGATCTACACACAAAATTGCAAAGTATCATGGCATACCAAAAACCTGACCCCCTTTTCAAAATTACCATATGTTGATGCCAACGCATGTCAACACATGCGTGTCTACAAAATCAGGGACCTAACCTCAAAAAATAATCAACATATGCCGGGGGATGAGCCCCTGAGGATATTGCATCATACATAGTATTATGCACTGGTGTACGGGCACACACCACGGCAAAGCCAGTCCCAGAATTTCTTGGAATGACCTAAGCCCAAAATTGCATGGAATCATCGTCAAGAGGGCACCAACATTTGACCATGAAATAACCAAAGGCACGTTGATCAGTCCTTCCCCCTCCCACCCCCTATGGACCATGGATCATAAGTCCCAGCGTGACTGACTGCCCTTACTCAGAATTTCTTGACCCCTTCCTTCCAACATCTCTCCAAAAAGGCGTGGCAGTCTTCCAGCGTTGGCCATCAAATCAAACTGGGAAACCAAAAGCGCGTAGCTCTGGCACGAGTGATTTGAGAGGACACCTGCTTCTTGAAATCCCTGTAACACTGTAATTTCGTGTTTCCGGGTAACATCAAGTCGCGTCTGCAAAATGAACAAATCAACTATCCGATCAGGACATAAGGTGCAGTTCCTTCCGAACTCTTTACCTATAGTTCCAATGACTTTCTCAGCACTTCGGCTCGTTCCGAAAGAACAACTCCTTGGAAGCCTGCTTGGCGCACCCTCCAACTTCAAGCGTTGCTTGCATCTATCTAACTGGGGTCTCAAAGAGGATGTACTCATGATCCATTGTTGTGGATCGCTGAACTAAAGGAGGCCCACTTTTCGCACAATGTATCATCTATCTATATATATATATATGCTATATATATATATTACCTTTGCATGTGTATAATATTTATATATATGTGTGCTGCTATCTCTTTGGGATATACTGGGGTCCAGATCCATCAACCTAACGTACGTCCTGCCCAGCACCTCAAGTCTCACTTGGTTGTCTATTGGCGAGGGGCTAAGGTCCATGTTGTCCAGCAACGCCTCAAAGTCTGAGTCTTTCATCGCAAAGATTCTCCAGGCCATGGCCACCACGGCAAGCTTCAACATCACGCGGAAAAAAAAACACAGTCAGTTGGCGGTGTTCATGGTTTGCGTGCCAAACTTTGGGAATGTTAACATGTGTGCAAGCTTTACATGTCACTGGCTACAAGATGCTCCAGTAAAGAGACACGCAAGCACATGGATGCCACCAAGGCCAAAGGCCATCCTTTGCTAAACCTATGGCAGCAAAACCACTTGCATTGCATAGTCTGTATTTGTCATATACTTGTGTTCAGACACTAATTAACGGCACTCTCTTTTGTTGCCAGCATCTCTGTGAGCATTACATGCAGCAGAACTAAGTGCCACAATCACGAAAAGCACTTCTAGGACCAGCTCAGCCCTTGTCAAAGCCTAGTAGCTCCTGAACGGCCTACACGCAGGACCGTCATGATGAAAGCACCAGGGGAGTGTCCAACAAACTTCTGCCCCAAACCCTCCAATAGTAGCCGCGTTCCAAAAGGCACTGTTGTTTCTTTCTTGCAAGAACCTATAGGCAGCACAAGCACAATTCCTATATGTATTATATATACCTACCAATACACTAGAACAAACATGTACATTCTGCATACGTACAATTATACATATATATATATATGTAAAATTGTGTGCATGTTATTAGCTAGTCTTAGTATAATATGTATACAGTATACAGTATACACCCACACGCGCATGCCTTCCGCTGTCTAATCGCCGGACTGTTGATCTTTTGGGGTGGGTGCGTGTCCCTTGTTCCTAGTAGCGATGCTCCTTGTTACTAGCAGCTTCTTGTTCCTAGTAGTAGTGCCAGAGGAGCTACTGGTAGCTTCTTGATAGTAGTCACTAGTCAAAATTATTCGACCGGACTTTAAAAATTAAGTTCCAAATGAAGCACACATGACTCCATGACAAACATCCAACAGGTTTCAAACCTGGAAGTTCGGAAGCCTGTTCAAAGAAAACAACGTACGTTGTGGAGGAACGATCACCGCTGTGGATCAAGGCACGCTGCACTATCGTTGTTAGGGTCCCGCATGGTCTGGCCCCCAGCTATTGGCGTACAAAAGGTCAGCGGCATGCAGTTCCGAACTTGGTACTTGGACGTTTGAACGGACACGGGTGCTGCGAATGAATGGAAGCAAGAAGTCAAGAAGGTACTGTGCAGCAACTCAACGTGGAACCATTGGCTAACAAATTATGCGGCCAAAATGGTTGATGCCAAGCATCGGTGAGTCAACTTGTGGCACAATACCTCTTGGGTTGATGCCAGCGAAGCGAGGTTGTAGCCCCCTCTCCGGCCGGTGCCAGTTGTGGAGGAAAGCCTGGGAGGTGTACCTTGGATGGCGCTGAGGAGGCGCAGATCGCGCCGAGTAGGCGGAGTCAGGTGTGCGAATTCGTGCGAACCTTCTGGAACCACGATGCTGAGCAAAACTGACACGCTATGAGCTGCTGGGACTTTCTGCCATCATGAATTCTTTTCATGGCTTTCGGGACGCAACAGCGCGATACAGTGGCGCAGTGAGAGTGATAATGTCTATTTGCGGACGTTTCTTTGCGTCTTTATCGACTATTTGCTGCAGGGCCGCGTGATTCCCTGCCTCGTCAGTCTTAGTCTTCACTCATTATTAGAACCCTCCCCTTGATTCCAATCACCACTCCAAGAGCTCATGAGAAATCCAGGGCCGAAGTCACAATGACACATCAGCAGCACGGATCTGATTCAAGGATCCATATAGCAATGGATACCCTAAGTTTTAGCCCTCTCAAGTTTGCTCCATAGACAAAAATCACTGCTATCCTAGTATCGAATGTGGTTTGGTTCATCAGTGTTGCATTTATGGCGTGCATGAGGTAGCTGGTGGGCTGAGGATAAAAGTCAATATTAACACGACCACGCACACATAATTTTACACACATAAACTGTCTCAAATTGCACGGCCTAATGGCCAGTGCAACCACCCTCCTTGCAAATGAAACGTCATTCATGTCCACTCAGCACCTGGATCTCCAGAATTCCGATGTTTCCAGACTGAAAGTTCTATATATATATATAAGTTCAAGTAAACGCAAAAGAATCTTTGGAAGGAAGAAGAGCCGCCCACTTGAGATTCGAGAGATTCCACAATATGTTGCGTTTCGATCAACGGTGTTTATTCTGGTTCGATCGGTCCTGTTGGTCATCGACACTCGGCTTGTTATTCGGCTCGCCACGCCGCCCAAGGAGACTATAATATACTTAGTATAGTTATTTCTGAAGAGTCGCAGGGCCAACAAAGCTGGGAATCGCTTCCACAAGACGTGTGGATTCCAAGGGCACGCTGGCAAAATTGGCGAATGTTGGGTAAATTTGGGTAAAACATAGCCGCTAGTAGAAACAATGTTCGCTACTAGTAACAAGTGCGTCGCTTCTAGTAACCAGTGCCTTACTAGTAACAAGAAACTAGTAGAAACAAGTGCCTTACTAGTAGTAACAAGAAGCTACTAGGGGCTCCTGGCATCGCTACTAGTAGCAAGTGCCTTACTACAGTAGTAGTAACAAGAACGCTAGTAGAAACATGGTAAGAGGCCTTCGTCGGACTGAGTCGGATGTAGCTTGGGACACCAACGTCGTCAGATCAGGGCCTCCTGGATGAGCCGCTGGGGCCGGCGGTGCAGAAGAATCCAAAGGGTCACTTGGCAGAGACGGGAGGTTCGCCGAAGGGTTCAATAGGTTGTGCTCAGCTTGGATAGTCGAAAAAATGTTCGCAGGGTCACTGGTGAGAAGCTTGCACACTGATGTTTGAATAGGTGTCTTAAGCATCAAGTTGTGTGAACAAATGTCAAATATTTTCACGCATTTTGAGTCTTTGCAAAGGCTCTCAATGATGAGCTTTATGTGAGGCATGTATACAAACTGCTTGTATTCTGTTGTTATGATTCTCGGGCATGCGCGAAAGAGGCATGTGTATGTGCTTGAAACCGCCATGGGAAAATGAGTTGGTGCATTTTACACTGTGTCCGAAATGAGCTCCGAGGTGATTCGCGAGGTGTGTCTTTTTCTTTGAAATCGCAAAACCAAAATCAGTTTAACCCAATTAATCCACTCACCAGTTGTGAATGTTTTTCAAACAATTCTAGCTACAATAGTCTATAGTCGTATTTGCGCTAGGAACACAAGGGTGTCAGGTTCAATCTCACTTTGGGTAGGATACAGCAAAGGAGACTCAGCTCCTGCAGCTAAGGGGCCCCGTGAGTGCGGCCTCAGGGAAGACAATGATCTTGGCGCCCTGCTCCTCACTCCACGAACTATCCAGTTCGTATCCGGAAGGAACTCTAACATGGCGTTTCGAGGGGATGAGGTGACCCTCGAATTTCGATTTGCATCGAATTGCTATGAAGTACTATGGTGAGCCCCTGGCATCTGGAAGGCAACTCTCTCGGCATGGGGGTTGTTGAGTCTCTGTATTTTGAAGTGCTCGCCATGGTGGATCCAGATCTATCCATTTAGTTTCATGCAACTGTACTTGTTCCATCTTGTTCTTTTGGGGTAGTCTTGCGTATTCCATGGCGTCGCCTTTCTTGTGAACCAGCCCCTGTAGCTCGTTGCAGCTAGACTCGACGGATACCTCTCACATCCTGTCACCTTCCACACCGAAGGGCGGAACGCTGCCCCCACCCGAAAGACGGCTTCCGCTAAACCCTTTTCGCCCCAGGCGCAGCGGCCGTTTTCGCCAAAGCCTCCATCTTCCGGGCATTCACCTGGATTGGGAAGCTGAACGAACAGGGCTCTCCAGTGAGGGGGGCCAAGGACCGGTGGAAACAAGGTGACCCGTTACAGTCGCACCGCGAGTCCGACCAAACGGGCGCCTTAATGGCCTCCAGAGTGCCCATCTTGGACGAGCATTGGATCGCCTCAGCGGTACATGAAACCGATCTGTACACGAAACTCACATGGACCCGGAGAAGACGATGCACCCGCAGGTAAGTTGGAGGCCATCGCGGTTGTTGGGCTGGAGGCCAACCCTGTGTTTTTCAGGGGCCCTGAGTCCATGTCAATCTTCTAGGGACCAACCCCAATCACCTGGGCCCGGGCAATCGCCCAAGCTCAAAGCAATAGAGCCGCTAGATCACCCCTGGATAATGGTGGAGATCAGCCTGGCTTCCAACAAAAAAAACACTTGCATATTTACGTACAGAATTCCAGCCAATTCCCCTCGCCCTGCGCGCTTGTCCATTGAGAACCGTCAATTGCACCCACATATATTAATTGTCCCCTCTGCAAACGTCGTGTTTTCAAACCAAGCGAACTCGGGGAATGCCCTGGGATCACCTCTGAGAAGGATGGGATCGGTATGCCAGCACAACTAATTATCTGGCGGTGCGTCAAAAAATTCAATAGCATAGTGATCATACAATTCCATGCATGTCCATATCATTAAGATTAGTTTTTGTGATTCCAAATACGGTCACGTTGACCCAGGGCTATTGACCAAGTCTCTGCGACTCGGACCTTGGACGAGGACGAGTGGTGCTCGTCGGCGCTGACCCCTCGGAGGGGCAAAGGAAGTCGTTGGAGAGTCCGTCGTCGTCCTTCGTTTATAAATCTCTTCACGGTCATTCCCTCTCAGCAGCCTAGAAGTTGGAAAATTTGGGAATCACTTGAGCCTCTTACCCTTCGTGCAGTGGCAAAGTAAATCGGTCATAGCCAAAAGCCTATGGCAGTAAAAAGCTTTCGTCCCATCAATCACCAGTGCCTGGCAGTGCTAGAAGCCCCTTGAAGCAAGGGGGGACCCAATCCACCCACTTGCCGCTGTCTGCCGCAGCCGCCATGCTGCCGGACATGGTCTGAAGATTTTGCCCTCAGGACAGGATGGAATGCTTGAGATCGTCCAAAACCATCCAAAACCTCCTAGTGCGTCTGCGACAAAATGTCTCAGCCTTCAGTGCCTGCAGGCTGGACTTTGCAGGAAACCTATAGCACTTAGTAGTAGACCATTTGCTGCCTCGCAAATTAGGGCTGATATGAAACCCGTTAGTGAAACTAGAATCCAGTGAGGTCAAAGTGGTGAGACCGCGCATCCCTCAT